TACAATGTACATTCTTGGAACAGTTGTATTTTGTGAAACAAAAATTAATAAGAATTTTCATTTTTATCTATAAAATTTTTATAGTGAGCTATTTTGACGAAACTGCAAAAATTGCTGTAATTCGATTAGCAATTTTGGAAAAACTGTAGGAATTTCCGAAAAACGAAGCCGAAAATGACTTCTGGATAGTGAAATCTACAAAAAAGTGTTTTCAACTAATTTTCGAAGATAGTAGTTGAAAAATAGTCGAAAATGTCCAAAGTGCCAAAATTAGTCTTTTATTATCAAAAACTAGCCCCGCCCACCCACCCTCTATTTTCTTGGAAGGTAAGTCATTTGCCAAAATCACTCTTATCTTATCAAATACTAGGCCCACCCACCCGCCCTCTATTTTCTTGGAAGGTATGTTATTTGCCAAAATCAGCAAGTACTAGCTCCGCCCACCCCCTCCTCTTCTCATTCTAACGACTGTTTAGTAATCGATCATTCGTTTCATTCAGATCGGACAAAATCAATCACTGAAAAGGAGACCGGGTGGGTGGGCGGGGCTAAATATTTTCTTCTGTCTAGTGGCAATGGAAAGTAATAATAGGATCAAAGAAGTGAAAAAAAAGCGCTAAGCGCAGATAGTGCACATATTCAAGAAATGGTCCGAAAAGCGAACAAATTGGTAGAAACTGTATGAGGAATAGGAGAGAGAAAATTTCTAATGAAGATTTTTAACCTGATTTGATAAAATTTATTTTTTTTTATGAAAATGGTGGAGGTGCCGGGATAAGAATTAAAGTTATAAATACTTATTTGCAGGAATCTCAAGTAAATTTTTAAAATAAATTACGCATTTCTCTAAACCTAGTAATAATGGAACAAGATAATGAAACCAGTAAAAATTTCTACCAAAAAAAATGTCTCAATTATGAAATCGATTTCAGCGATTTTAATGTCTTCTTCGCAATCAAAAAGATAAAACAAAAATAACCACAAATTTATAACTCTGAGAAAATTTCCCAAAGGAATAACCCATTTTTTGGTGGATTGTTTAAGACTAATTTTTAATATAAAAATGTTGGAGGCGCCGGGATGGTAATTAAAATTATCAAAATTTATTTCGAGAATTCGCACAACAAATTTTTGAAAAATTACGTGTGTATCTGTAGATGTACTAATATTAAAAGAGAATAAAAGGAACCAATAAAGATTTCAACCAAAGTAAATAACTCAACCCAAAAGCGAATTTTACCGATTTTAGTGTTTTCATAAAAATTTTGTTTTCTTCGGAATCAAAATTGACACAACCAAAATGAGCGCAGATTCGTGTTCCTGAGAAAATCTTGACCCTGTTCTAGTGGATTTGTTGAAATTCACTCTTTATACAAAAATGGTGGAGGCGCCGGGGTAATAATAAAAATGACAAATTTTTAGTTAGAAATTTTTTTGTTAATTATGTTTTTCTGTGGAGTGGGTGTGAAAACTAATAATAGAATCTAGGATTTAAAAAAAATAAGAAAAAAAGCACAAGTCTTAACTTTCTTGTTATACTATTTGCCATAAAATTTATTTCTTATTTCATGCACCTGACCAGACTTGACCTAACATGATCTGATCTGTCCTGACTTCTCTCTTGTCCCAAATAAACAAATTTTAAACATTTCTGTGATATATATATATATAAACTACAATGTACATTCTTGGAACATTTCAATTTTGTGAAACAAAAATTAATAAGAATTTTAATTTTTATCTACACATAAAATTTTCATAGTGAGGTATTTTGACGAAACTGCTAAAATTGCTGTAATTCGATTAGCAATTTTGGAAAAACGGTAGGAATTTCCGAAAAACGAAGCCGAAAATGACTTCTGGATAGTGAGATCTACAAGAAAGTGTTTTCTTTTTTTTCTTTCGAAGATAGTAGTTGAAAAATAGTCGAAAATGTCAAAAGTGCCAAAATTAGTCTTACATTATCAAATACTAGCCCCGCCCACCCACCCTCTATTTTCTTGGAAGGTAAGACATTTGCCAAAATCAGTCTTATCTTAGTAAATACTAGCCCCGCCCACCCGCCCTGTATGTTCTTGGAAGGAATGTTATTTGCCAAAATCAGCAAGTACTAGCTCCGCCTACCCCCTCCTCTTCTCATTCTGACGACCGTTTAGTATACGATCATTCCTTTCATTCAGCTCGGATAAAATCAATTGCTGAAAAGGAGACCTGGTGAATAATAGGATCTAGGAAGTGAAAAAAAAAACGGTAAACGCAAATAAAGCGCATATTCAAGAAATGGTCTGAAAAGCGAACAAAGTGATAGAAACAGAATGAGGAATAGGAGAGAGAAAATTTCCAATGAAGATTTTTAACCTGATTTAATAAAATTTAATTTTTTATATGAAAATGGAGGAGGTGCCGGGATAAGAATTAAAATTAGAAATACTTATTTGCAGGAATCTCAAGTAAATTTTTAAAATAAATTACGCATTTCTCTAAACCTAGTAATAATGGAACAAGATAATGAAACCAGTAAAAATTTCTACCAAAAAAAATGTCTCAATTATGAAATCGATTTCAGCGATTTTAATGTCTTCTTCGCAATCAAAAAGATAAAACAAAAATAACCACAAATTTATAACTCTGAGAAAATTTCCCAAAGGAATAACCCATTTTTTGGTGGATTGTTTAAGACTAATTTTTAATATAAAAATGTTGGAGGCGCCGGGATGGTAATTAAAATTATCAAAATTTATTTCGAGAATTCGCACAACAAATTTTTATGAAAAATTACGTGTGTATCTGTAGATGTACTAATATTAAAACAGAATAAAAGGAACCAATAAAGATTTCAACCAAAGTAAATAACTCAACCCAAAAGCGAATTTTACCGATTTTAGTGTTTTCATAAAAATTTTGTTTTCTTCGGAATCAAAATTGACACAACCAAAATGAGCGCAGATTCGTGTTCCTGAGAAAATCTTGACCCTGTTCTAGTGGATTTGTTGAAATTCACTCTTTATACAAAAATGGTGGAAGCACCGGGATAATAATAAAAAAGATAAATATTTAGTTAGAAAATATTTTGTTAATTATGTTTTTCTGTGGAGTGGGAGTGAAAACTAATAATTGAATCTAGGATGTGAAAAAAGTAAGAAAAAAACCGCTAATTCGTACCTTTTTTTGACTTCTCGATTGTCCCAAATAAACAAATTTTAAACATTTCTGCGATATTTACATAAACTACAATGTACATTCTTGGAACAGTTGTATTTTGTGAAACAAAAATTAATAAGAATTTTCATTTTTATCTATAAAAATTTTATAGTGAACTATTTTGACAAAACTGCAAAAATTGCTGAAATTCAATTAGCAATTTTGGAAAAACGGTAGGAATTTCCGAAGAAACGAAGCCGAAAATGACTTCTGGATTCGAAATCTACAAGAAAGTGTATTCAACTAATTTTCGAAAATAGTAGTTGAAAAATAGTCGAAAATGTCAAAAGTGCCGGGATAAGAATTAAATTAAGAAATATTAATTTCGAGAATTCCTATAAATTTTCTATACAGAATAAAACATTTCCGAAGAGCTTACGCATTTCTCTAATTATATTCATGAGAGAACATTATAAGAAAACCTACGCAAATTTCAACTTGAATAAATAAAGCAAGTTGAAGACAAATTTGACCAATTTTAGCTTATTAAATATAAACTGACTTTCTATCGTTGTATGACAAGATATAACGAAAACAGACACAAATTTATGATCCCGAAATAATTTCCCATAAGAATAACCCCTTTTTCGGTGGATTTGTTGAGATTAATTTTTAATATAAAAATTGCGGAGGCGCCGGGATAATTAAAATAAAAAAAAATATTTCGAGAATTCTCAAACCAGTTTTTATAAAAAATTACGTGTGTATCTGTAAATGTTGATTTCAACCGAAAAAAATAACTCAACCCATAGACGAATTTTACCGATTTTAGTGTTTTCATAAAAATTTTGTTTTCTTTGGAATCAAAAGAGACACAACCAAAATAAGCGCAGATTCGTGATTCTGAGAAAATCTTGGCTCTGTTCTAGTGGATTTGTGAAATTCACTCTTTATAAAAAAAATGGTGGAGGCGCCGGGATAATAATAAAAATGATAAATATTTAGTTAGAAGATTTTCCAGGAAAGTTTTTGAAAAACTATTCAAGAATTAAATTTCTAGACATTGTTTTCGTGGATTCCTGACAAACGTTGATATGGAATAATATATTTGCGAAGAAACGATTTTGAAAAAATTGATTTTTGATAAGTTGGATGGACAGGATCAGATTTAACTTTTATATAAAAATGGTGGAGGCGCCGGGATATTGATAAATTTTTGTTTCGAGGATTCTCAAGAAACTGTTTAGAAAAAATCTTAGAAGTGTTAGAACTGAATATCGAAAGAATTTAATGTGTTGCATATAAACTTTAAATAGTACAGATTTCAACATAACTAAGTAAGAATTATTAATTTATTTCGAAAATTCTTAAAAGAGCTCGGTACGAAATATTAAATTCAGGTCAGTTCAAAATAGCTCAAGCTCTATAGAAATACAAAACCGAGTAGTTTTAACAAAATTATATATTATTCAAGGTTAATTCTGAAAATAATCATTAAATATTCTACCGCATCAATAAATAAATTTAAGCGGATTATAATGACCCCTTATCATAATTTATTAAACGAGAGACAAAAAATCGAAACATTCAAACGAACCGTTATTGAGTTACGCAGTATCCACTTCCAGGAAAATAATTTGTGAATTGCAAATGTATGTACATATCACCGAGTGTTTCCGTTCAGTGAACATACAAAATAATCCTGCAATTTTTTAAAATAGGTAAACATGAAAGAGTTAAATTCCAGTTTTGTCAACACAAACAGAGCGAACGCGTTGTAATTTAGCGAATTAACTACCACATAAATAAATATAGAAATTTTATCTCCAAATCAATCCATCGCGTTTTAATCCTCTTACCATTTTTCTCTTCGTCTTCTGTTCCCCTAAACACCACAACTCATTCCCCTCCGGATCAACTCGTGTCCTCCGACTCGTGTGTCTCGCGTTCGACTGAAGAAGCGTCGCGACGCCGCCGACGCTCTCGGGTGCACTGCACCGAGCGGAACGTCGTCGCGACGTCGCGTCTTGCGACGCATGCTCCCAGCCGCAGCCCTACCACTGGCGTGTTGCCGTGCCAAGAATTTATAAACTCACTGTTTACATTCTTTCACTCGTGAATCGTCCCGGTTTCGACACGGACGGGGCTGGAGAGAGTAAATACTTTGGAGTTTTATGATAGTGTAGGTGTCGGCGGCAGGGCGCGAATATGGCAGGAATTCGCAGGGATTTGGGAGTTTGGGGCCGCTTGGCTAATTAGCCGGGGGAGGAGGGTTGGGCTCGGGGGGCACTAAACAGGGCTGTGTTCTGGAGGCATTGTGTTGCCAGGGGTTTTCGTATTTAAATCAAAGGATGCGGATGCTTTTTCGTTTAAATACTTAACTCTAACTTCTGGTATTAAATAAACTTCTTCTTGAAAATGAGCACAATTTATCTGATCTGAGTAATATTTGATTGATTAGTCCAAGATTTTACTAATTACTACACACACTACTGAAGAAATTTCAAAGAATCTTGGAATGTACTGGTATTTTTTAAATAATGTAAACAATCTTAATACTCTGGGGAAGAATCTTGGAAATTATTCTCCTAAAAATTTGAAAAATCTGGGAATCCGTCGAGTTCTATTGTTTAAAGAATTTAAGAAGACTCAGGGGATTTTGAAATAATTTGTATGTACCTTGTGACTTCTGCTGTTCTATTTTGAAAAAAATTGAAATATTCTTGGCTCGTAAAATTTTATATTTGAAAGAATTTAAAATTTTCGAAAAGATTCAATTCATGTGGGTTATTTGTCTATTTTTGAATGAATTAAAGAAATCTTACGAATTTTTGAAAGAATTTTAAAGATTCTTTTGACCCATATGTTTCGTTTTTGAAAGAATCGGAAAGTTTATTGCTCTCCCTGGACTTTTATATATTTTTGAAAGTATTTTTAGTATCCCCAAGCTACATGTATTCGATTTTTTGAAGGATTTAGGTAATCTAAAAGGATTTTAGAAAATTTTAAGAATCTTGTTATCCCTGGTGTTTTTTTAAAGGATTTAAAAAATCTTACGTGTTCCGGGTCTATTATTTTAGAAAGAATTTAAAAAAACTGCTTGGTTCCTAATGTTCTGTTTTTGTAAAAATTTGAAAAATACCTGGGCGTCTCCGGTGTATTTTTGAAAGAATTTAAGTAATCTCAAAAGCTTTTGAAAGAATTTTTAAGATTTTTGTGGTCCTTGGTGTTTTTTAAGGAGTTATAAAATCTGAGGTGTTTAATTTTTTGAAGAATTTAAAACATCTGAGAGGTTTCGGGTCTTGTTTTTCTAAAAATTCTTCAGAATCTCACATATTCTCTCAGATTCTCACAGATAGTCCCACATCCTTTCAGATGTTTTCAAATTTCTTCAAACTGCTTCAAATTCATTCAAATACCTTAAGATATTTTCGATTCTTTTAGATTCTTTCAGATTCCCTCAGTTTCTATCGGATTCTATCAGATTTTTTCAGGGTCTAACTGCTTCTTTTGGATTCTTTCAGACTCCTTCGGATTATTTTAGGTTTTCAGGATCCTTCAGATTCTTTCAGATTCCTTCAGATTCTCTCATATTCTTTCAGATTCTATTCTCAAATATTTTCACATTAGTTCAGATTTTAACAAATTCCTTGAAACTCCTTCAAATTGTATCAAATTCTTTTAAATTCTTTCAGAACCCTTCAGATTCTCTCGGAGTCTCTCAGGTTTTCTCAGATTTTTCCAGATTCTATTGGATTCTTTCCGATTCCTTCCGATTCTTTCAGATATCCTCATATTCTTCAAGATATTTCAGGTTTTTCAGGTTTTTTCGGGTTCTGTCAGATTCTTTCAGATTCTTTCAGATTCTTTCAGATTCTTTCAGATTTTTTCAGGTTCTTCCATATTCTTTCAAATTCTTTCACATTCTTTTAGATTCTTTCAGGTTCTTTCAGGTTCTTTCAGATTCCTTCAGATTATTTCATATTCTCTCAGTTTCTCTCAGATTATTTCCGATTTTTCAGATTATTTCAGATGCTCTCAGATTCTCTTAGCTTCTTTCAGATTCTTTCTGATTGTCACAGATTCTGTCAGATTCTCTTAGATTTTCTCGGATTCCTTCGTAATCTCTCAGATTTTCCCTGATTCTATTTTGGTTGTTTCGATTCTTTCTGGTTCCCTCGGATTCTTACGGATTCTCTCCAAATCTCTCACATTTTGTCGGATTTTCCCTGATTCTATTTGGTTGTTTCGATTCTTTCTGATTCTCTCGGATTATTACGAATTCTTTCCGACTTGTTCGGATTCTTTTGGTTTTCTTCAAATTTTTCAAATTCTTTCAGATTCTTTCAGATTCTTTCAGATTCTTTCAGATTCTTTCAGATTCTTTCAGATTCTTTCAGATTCTTTCAGATTCTTTCAGATTCTTTCAGATTCTTTCAGATTCATTCAGATTTCTTCAGATTCCTTCAGATTCTCTCAAATTCTCCCGGATTTTTTTCTCAGACTTTTAAGATCCCTTCAAATTCGATCATTTTTTTTAAATTTCTTAAAGTTTCCTCAAATTGTTTTAAATTCTTTTAGATTCTTTCAGATTTCTTCAGATTCTCCCGGATCCTCTCTATTATTATTATTATTCTTTCAGATTGTTTCAGATTCTCTCAATTTTTTTCATATTCTTTCAGATTCTTTGGGATAATTTCAGGTTCTTTCAGATTCCTTCAGATTCTTTCATAAGCTTCTGATTTTCTCAGATTCTTTCAGGTTCTCTCGGATTCTTTTAAATTTCTAAAGATTTCTTCAGATTCTCTCATATTGTCTCAGATTCTCTTCTCCGATCTTTTCAGATCTTTTCAGATCCCTTCAGATTCTATCAAATTTCTTCAAATTTTTTTATGCTCAAATTGTTTCAAATTCTCTTATGTTTTTCAGATCTCTTCAGATTCTCCCGGATCCTCACAGATTATCTTAGAATCTTCCAGATTCTTTAAGATTCTTTCATATCCTTTCAGATTCTCTCAGCTTCTTTCAAATTCTTTCAGATTCTTTCAGATTCTCTTTGATTCTCTCGGATTCTCTCGGAATCTCTCAGCTTTTCTCAGATTTTCCCTTATTCTATTTGGTTGTTTCAATTCCTTCTGATTCTTTCGGATTCTTTCGGTTTTCTTCATATTCTTTCAAGGTCTTTCAGCTTTTTTCAGGTTCTTTCGGGTTCTTTCAGTTTCTTTCATATTCTTTGAGTTTCTATCAGATTCTTTCAGACTCTCCTAGATTCTCTCAAATTTTTTCGAATTCTTTCAGATTCTTTCAGGTTCTTTCAGATTTATTCAGATTCTTACAGATTTTTCCAGATTCTTTTAGATTCTTTCAGATTTCTTCAGATTTTCTCATATTCTCTCAGATTCTCCCAGATGCACTCAGATCCGAGTAAATCTTCTCAGATCCTTCCATACCTTTCCATATCCTCCCAGATCTTTCCAAATCCTCTCAAGTCGACCCAAACCCCCTTCAATTTTCCGATTTTCTTAGATACTTTTAGATGCTTTCAGATTGTATCAAATCCCATCAAGTGCTTTTAAACGCTTTCAAACTGTTTAAAATACTTTCAGATTTTTTCAGCTTCCTTCAGATTTTCTTAGTTTCTCTTACATACTCTCAAACCCTCTCAGATGTATTCAGATCCACGGATTCAAATTTTCTCAGATCCTTAAACCAGCTTAAAGCTCTCAAAATGTTTAAAGTTTTTGAAGCTTTTTAAATGATGAAAGTTCTCAAACATTTCGAAATTCTCACGGCTTTTAAAGGTCTCAAAATTTTAAAGTTCTGCCATCCTTTAAGAATTTTAAGATTCTTAAAGTTGCCAAATTTTTTACAGTTTTTGCGTCTTTTAAGGCTTCTGAAATTTTGAAATACTCGAAATGCTCGAAGATTTCAATGTTCATGAAATTCTCAAAGTTCTCAAAGTTCTTATGGTTCTTAGGAACTCTGAAAAAAGCTTTTAAAGCTCCCAAAGTATTTTTTTTTAATTCTCGAAATGTACAACCAAACAGACACGATTTTATTTATTCTGTGTAATGTTTCCCACAAAAGCTGTGTTATACGTTTTGCCGGTATTCCTACTATGTACATACTTCCCACTTGACTATCAGTTAAATAATGCGTGTAAGACTTTCGAAAGCTACTACAATCTCTACTTCAGCAGTAATTGTTTCTACAATCCGGACAACAACGACCACCCGGTAAAAATTACCTACTAATTTCCAATCAAACAATTTTTATTTTAGCTCCAAATTATGAAGCGACATGTCGGAATAGGTGAATCGCACCAAGTCACAACAGAAGATGGATACATCCTAACAGTATTCAGACTACCTAGAGACAAACCCAAAGGAGTAATGCTCTTCCAACATGGTGTTAGCCACGACTCGAGATTCTTCCTAGCCCAACATAACCAATCCATAGCTTTTTTTTTTCTGGAAAGCAGGCTACGACGTGTGGTTGACCAACAGCCGAGGTACCACCTATTCCCAAAAGCACGTCAATCTAACAGTCGAGAGTAAAGAATTCTGGGACTACACATTCCAAGAAATCGGGTACTACGAACTTAATGCTACCATCCAGTATATAAAGGACACCACGAAAAAAGAAAAAATCATCTACGTAGGACTGTCGATGGGAGGGTGCGCTGCTTTGGTTTACGCCGCTTTGAGCAGCACAGAATGCGCGAATTCCGTCGAAGTCATAGTAAATCTAGCTCCTTACATTTTCACTGAAACCACGTCCCCAATCAAACCCTTGTTTTTCGCGTTCCCTTTAAAAGCGATTTTAAGAACTTTAAAGTTGCTAAGAGCCATAAGAACTTTGAGAACTTTGAGAATTTCATGAACATTGAAATCTCCGAATATTTCGAGGATTGCAAAATTTCAGAAGCCTTAAAAAATGCAAAAACTGTAAGACATTTGACAACTTTAAGAATCTTAAAAT